AATCGTTCTATAATCGAACCAATATTCGAATTTTATGTTCGAATTTAATTCGAACAAATTCGAACAAAACATTCGAAATAGAAAGCCACTTTCAACCACTTTCAGCCTCATATCTCCCTCACCCTTACAGCTATCGAGACGCATCCACCCCTATGCACGAATGGAGACTTGGGACTACCACCACATACAAACACCATTCACGTGCGATGTGTAGTTCTGGCGGAAAAGTGAAATATAGGGACATACATGTCCATTTTTATATATAGATATAGATATAGATATAGATATAAAATATATATTAATATAAAAAATTAGTGGCGGATTTAGCACTTGTGAGGTCCCAAGCACAATTCAATTTTGAAGTCACACCTTTAAATATTTACATTGTTCTTACACCATATAGTATGCACTCTACCCAACATAAAAAATTAAGCAATATAAAATTACACAGCCTGGCTGTATTTAAAATGTTACTGATATTCAAGTTGTATTATGAAAACTGAAACTTATTGGTACTGTACAAGAATTATTAAATTCCAATAGGTAAAAGTGTTAAAAATAAAAAAATATAGTAGTCCATTGACCGCAAAAAGTGTCATAGCTTACGTTATTTATTTGTCAATTTAATTTAGGGAATGATCATAAATTATTAATTATTTTTATTATGAAAAAAGTAATAATTTAATAAAATTATTTTTATTTTTATTTTGGGAGCTGAATTTTCAGACTCCCTTGATATGGGGTCCCAGGAGCGGATGTGTTCCTGTGCAGAAATCTGCCACTGTGTAGAATATGGAGTAGATAAAGTATATAAAGCACAAAGTAACATTCTAATGAGAGTGTTCTTGTTTCACACTAATCAAAAGTAGGAGTAATCTGGAAAAATAAAAATAACGTGTAATATTATAAAGAGATAATGTTTGTAAGTTTGTATGTAGGGGTAATCTCCGAAACTACTAATCCGATTTCAAAATTTCTTTCACTAATATTTAGAATGGAACTTCAGGGTGGACATAGGCTGTATATTATTCCGTTAAACATTCATATAAATTAAAAGATGTAATTTAGGGTTAAGGCTTTTATGTCCAACAGATAGTGCTGCCAGTACGAAAACCTAAGTTCGCTTTTCCATGAGGCATTATGCTTTTCTGTGAAAATGAATTAAAGTAGATCATATTCTGTCTATTTATATAAATAAAAATATAATATTCATTTATTCCTACCGATTCCTTTGAAATTTGACACAACGTTGCATTGAATACGCACGTGTTTTTATATAATATACGTGTCGAAATTTTCCTCACTGGGGGAGATGGTTAAGATTAAGGCTTACCATAAAAAACTCTGCTACTATTTATATTATTTTAGATGCGGATTTTTGCGTTTTTGATTGCGTTTTAATAGGGTACGTCAATAGAATGTACACTAAGAAGGGACTTTTCGAAAAAATTCCTCTCCACGGGGAAAGTGGTATACATTTAAATTAGATACATTTTGAGCCACAACAACGCGCAGCGGGGTCTGTAGTCAATCATAAAAGGCGAATTTATACAGTTTTACATTGAAGATATGTAAAATTGGGTGCATGTAATCGAAAAAAACCGTAAAATTTTACGATATCCGATAAGGCAGCATATTTCATAAACCGGCACCCAGTCTTTCCCTGTTTGAATTTTTACTTATACTTTGTTATTTTATGGAATTTTTCGTAATATTAACTAAACAATCAAGATAAATAAAATAAAACGTAAGAATGCAAATGCGAATAATGATGTTTTGTCCTTAACAGAACTGTCGATCATGTCCGTAGGAACAAGAAAGTCATAGGAATCATACTTCTGAATATGACCCTTCACGACATATAGCCCAGAAATTATCCTAAAGCCTATTTCCAGGAGCTTTAGGCAGTCACGCTAAGCCTATCGTGTGTTTAACAGTGTAGCACAGTGGTTAAAGGTTCTAACGATATTTATCGATAAAGAATATAGAAAAGTCCTAAACGAAGTCCTTCGCGACAGATTTTTGCCACTAACTGTGAAACCTAATGACGGCAGTTCTGGTGGTCATATTGTTTCCATCTATGTTTATTATAGGCACTGCGATCAATGTTATGGTGCCTATAGCAAACATAGCCAACAGCATAATTAACATCTGCAATTGTAACAAATACAATACCCGATTTCGTAATCTTCGAATAACCATTTTTCTCCGAAATCACTTCGAATTGATGCTTGGTTTTCCTTGCTTTCATCAATTTTATCATCGATAACGACATCGTCTTCTTGCTTTTTGAAGCTATTCATTTTTAAGTGATTATTTCCTATAAAAATTTTGTTTAATCAAATAAAATTTTTAAATTTTAGTGTTAAATTTTTTAGTTATACTTAACAATAATGTACAGGTTCAAAATAATTTTACCTATAGAGTGACCAATCGTATTTTCTATGCG